GGCTTAAAAATCTTTGCATGATTCTTTTCTCTTGGAGTGCACCGTTTAAATATTTGGCTTACTTAGATAAATTATACAGCTGTGAAATTAGAGAGCTTTGTTAATACGACGTATAAATTTTGGTGTTTGTGAAAATTAAGTACGAGTGCGCCTCTATAGGATATTTTCGATAACCATGTTCTGTTTTCTAACAACTTATATATAGCTGAATCATGTGGTCCAGCTATTACTGAACGCTACAAGAAGTCATCAAGTTGAAAGCTTATAATACAGCTTGATTACCTTATTCATTGGTCGTCATGACAACAGACTATACTTGAATGTTGCAGCAAAAGATCCTTTGTGGTTAATTTACCGAAAAACACTTCGAAATGAGCTCATAGAAATATATATATATTGTAATTTAGCGCAAAATAACATATTTAAAAGAATAAAAGCAACCAGGGTTTGCATCTTTGCATCGAGGTCTCAGTGAAAAGCTCAGAACTACTAAACGTCTTTCGAATACGTAAATACAACCACTATAGAGAATGGCGTTGATTGGTCGGTAAAGTACGAAATACTTCTACATAAAAATTTATGACATCGTTCTCAGAGCTTGTTCACTAGTGTAGCAAAAACAAAAATCCAACTGTACACTTTACTTGTTCCTTAAACATTCAGCTCATTTAGCAAAAAGTTTCTACGTTCTCTTTTTTTCTTTCTATACCATAAAACAATCCTATTTAAAATCTACTTGGCGTAAAAAGTTACATCCTAGACGCTTCATAGGGGCAGTATTCAAGTATTAACTTCAGTAATTACCATCTGATATATGTATGTTTAAGAGTGACGGACATATTAGAATATAATAGAAACCGAGTATCTTGTGTTAGCATAATCAACTCTCTCATTATAGTAGCTTTGATAGGTCAAGTCACTATAAACAAAAAATGTTTTATTCAAGATGTTTTGTGTGGGTATATTATAACAGTCATTTTCAAGTCACGGGCCCCCCCAAAAAAAGACTATTAACAAAGTATACAATGACATCATATAGATGAAACAAAAATGGTGGATAGCTATTTGTAAAATGCTCATATACAAAAATTCCTTCGATATTTTACACCAGACAGATCGTAATGCTTTGGATAGTGTGAAATACCACGTTGTAGATGACTAAGTGTGATATCCTAAAAGTAAATGGTTCTCTGGAAGGTTACTTGCAACAGCAATTAAGTTGCTCGCAACAATCATGTGACCACGCATAACAAATATGAAGTTACTCACAACAACGATGTAACCAGTAATAACAAATATGAAGTTACTCACAACAACCATGTAACCACTCATAACAAATATGAAGTTACTTACAACAACCATGTAACCACTCATAACAAATATGAAGTTACAACCATGTAACCATTCATAACAAATATGAAGATACTAACAACCATGTAGTCACTCATAACATATATGAAGATACTCACAACAACGATATAGCTAACCACAACTATGCAGCTTTGCATAACAAGTATGAAGCTACTCATAGCAATGATGTAGTCATTCAAAACCACCATCAAGCTACTCATAACAATGATGTAGACATTCAAAACAACCACCAAGCTACTGACAACAACCATATCTGATCACAACCATGTAGCTGCTCACCAAAACCATAAAGCTACTCCATGCTAATATATATATATACTTATGAGACAAATTATTAATAAAAAATAATACACGTAAGGACGCAAATATTTCTGTGACTCTTTATCCTATTTCAAAACTACGTCCAGAAAGGTTGTAAACCGTAAGATGGTTGATTTGAACATTTTGTTTCTGTTGTTGATCACAAAGTTACATGATAGGCAATCTAACCCACCACGGATCTCGAAACCCAATATTTAGCGTTATGAGCCGCCAAACTAACCGTTGAGCCGCCAGGAGGTCACTAGTGACGTAGTTAGGATGAAGTTTGTTAAACTCCACGTATTATGGATGTCTTTCAGTTACCCTAGAATGTTGAATATTACAGCAATGAAGTTTGGTTATTCATAGTCGTCATATTCGGAATTGTGTATACAGAGGAACAATTATGTTTGATTGCTAGGTTACATCATAGTGAGCTCGTTTACAAAAAATTGTTAGCCATCAACTTTTCTCTATGAAAAATATTGACCAAAACAGGCACAATTATTAACATGTATGACAAACATAATAGCTTTAGTCGTTTTCTAGTCCCCCTCACAATTATTAGCATGTATGACAAATAATATAGCTTTAGTCATTTTCTAGCTCCTCTCCCTACAAATAAAAAAAAAGTCTGAATCCATCGTTGTTTAAGTCCGTATTTTATAACAAATAACAAAATGGCTCCCTGTCTGAAGTTAGTCAAAGAACATGTTTTGTACATTAAAGGTTACTAATTCGTCAGTTCTTCTGGTCCCCAGGTGGGAAGGCCGTAAATCTTCGGATTTACAACGCTAAAACCAGGGTTTCGATTCCCCTCGGTGGACACAGCATATAGCCCCGATGTAGCTTTGCTATAAGAAAACACACGCAGTTCTTCTAAATTATGAGTAAAAAGTTAATTCAGGTAAAATAAATGAATAAATAATATTAATAGTAAACAATTTCGTATAAAAATATATTAATTAGTTGATGTTAATAAAAATCACAAACACACAATTCTGATGTTTAATGACTTAAATAAGTTGATAAAAATTGCAGTTCACCACTTTAACCTTGTTCACATCAAAACAATTGAGGTTATAAATAGTGTAAAATCTGTCGTATAGAGCCAATCTGATGAACCTTGGTATTAGGCGGCAGTTCACCACTTTAACCTTGTTCACATCAAAACAATTGAGGTTATAAATAGTGTAACATCTGTCGTATAGGGCCAATCTGATGAACCTTGGTATTAGGCGGCAGTTCACCACTTTAACCTTGTTCACATCAAAAGAATTGAGGTTATAAATAGTGTAACATCTGTCGTATAGAGCCAATCTGATGAACCTTGGTATTAGGCGGCAGTTCACCACTTTAACCTTGTTCACATCAAAACAATTGAGGTTATAAATAGTGTAACATCTGTCGTATCCCTGCCAGTCTGATGAACCCTGGTATTTGGCGAAAGGCCTCGTCAGCACTGGATATAGCAAATATAGCGTAGCTGACAAACTATTACATTTTTTATTTACTTTCACTCATAAGTTATTACACGTAAAGCAAGCAATGAGTTGTATTAATTAATACCTTTAAAGTTTAAGGATTTAAACTTTTAATTACGTTTGAGCAGTATGTTTGTTTTGATGTTTGTCTGTTAGTTTGGTTTTTTAAGCACTCTACATTGTCTTTTGTGCAGGGGAGAAACCTTTCAAGTGTGAGTTCGAAGGTTGTGACCGGAGGTTTGCCAACAGTTCAGACCGAAAGAAGCACTCTCATGTTCACACCAGCGACAAGCCTTACAACTGTAAGATCGGAGGCTGTGACAAGAGTTACACCCATCCAAGTTCGCTGCGGAAACATATGAAAGTGCATGGGAAGTCTCCGCAGCCGACTAGTACAGCCCCGGGTTCCACAGGTAGCAACAGCTCCATATCAGACTACGACAGCGACACGCCATCATGCGCCACAACAAACGGGAACAACTGTAATAACAGCGCGCCAATCGGTCCCCAGTCTACAGTTATGGTGCAGGGTTCGGATCCGCATTGCCATACGACGTTACCACTTTTTACAAACTCTGGGTTTGGCGGGTGCGTAGGTCACACCACTAACTTGAGTGAATGGTACGTGTGCCAGTCTTCAGTAGGTATGCCCACACCTCCGAGCAACGAAAACTCTCCCGTGTCCGGAATTACTCACCATTTTCACGGGTCTTCATATTAAATTATAAGTGTACAAAGGCAGTGAATTAAAGAAGTTTTTGCAAAACATAATATATATGAACACGGATTGACTTTATTGTTTAGATAATAACTCGTACTCTTATATCTAAAACTACGTCAGTTTACAGTGCTCAGTTTTTTCGACAACGGCTGGCAGACTTAACATGTATATATTTCTAATTAGGACTTCAACTTAATTGCATAACACCGGTGGTCATTAGAGCCGTGACAAAACTGACCGTTGTACAGAGATTAAATTTGCTATGAAATGAGACGATCTGTGTGTGTGTATATGTTATAATGATATTCAATAAACTCTTAATGTCTTACGTGAAACTCTTTAGAAAGTTGGGTCACAATAAAATATATAAGAAATGCGAGACAGCGCTTACATGTACCAAGTGTTCCAAATGTCACTTCCGCTGTTCGGACGACTGCGTTTCCGAAACCGATGGATACAACGTTGTGAAGCTCGGTGTGTAAACCAATTTGACCCTGCGGAAGACAACGTTTATATTATACCGACTTCTTCAAAACTGCTCGAATGTCATCTTGGACACCGGCTTGTGTACCTATAACATTCCACACGACTGTGTACATTTATTTCGGCGTAGTCGCATTGGTAAAACGCAGTAGTCTGAAGAAAAAAAAAACTGAAGTGACTATTGAAACAGATGAATATTATTCCTTTATCATTCCCTTGAAGCTCACTAGGCAACATAGATTCAATATGATCTTTTTACTGAATTGATATACATTACAGTGCGAAACTAGGTCTTGTGAACAATTTAGTAAACGTAAAAGTAGCATGTTGCGAAGAAGTTTTGTTTTTATATAAATAAACCGCTAAACTAAATATCTCCATGTTCATTACATTTGACAAAGACAATTTAATACGTATGTCATTTTTATGCTGGAAAAGCTTGGTTCCTCTGTTCACACTTCATGGCCAGGTGGTTAGGGCGCTCGACTCGCAATCTGAGGGTCGCGGGTTCGAATCCCCGTCACACCAAACAAGCTCGCCCTTTCAGCCGTGGGAGCGTTATAATGTGACGGTCAATCCCACTATTCGTTGGTAAAAGAGTAGCCCAAGATGGGTGGTGATGACTAGCTGCCTTCCCTCTAGTCTTACACTGCTAAATTAGGGACGTTTGGCGCAGATAGCCTTCGTGGAGCTTTGCGCGAAATTCAAAACAAACAAACTGTTCACACTTAAGATCCGTTCTCCCTAAACAATACAAAATGACGACGCTACGAAGCCAAAAAATGTAAAAATCACTATTTGATTTGTAACTGTTTGGATGTTTGGCGTAAAATAAAATGTAGCACAAAGTTGTTGTTTTGTGTGTGTATGTGTAAAGAATATTTAGATTTTTGGTAATGAAACCGCGTTTCGAATTGTTAGTTCGTGTCTCAGCAGTTAGAAATGTCGTTATTACCACCTGGAAAGACCATAAACAATAAAGCCAACAGACCCGAATAAACCGTATCAAAAGAGGTGTTTTTATCTATGATTTAATCTCAAAAATGAATGTTTAAACGAACACAAGCGAATTTAAAAATCGGTAAACTTAATCAAGTTCAGAACAAAAGTAACTGTGTATATACATACATATATATATATCTGATCCCCAAACAAACTCGTTAACTGTGATGGCTTGTTTCGTGTGTGTGTGTGTGTGTGTGTGTTTTTAATTATCACTTAAAATATCTAATCACTAAGGTATATAATAATGAGTGTTGTGGTATTCTTTTCGTTAAGTTTGTTGAGCTAAATGTTTGAACACACGTGCAGTGTCATAAAATGCTAAATGATAATCTCGAAAATGTGGGTGTATATTATTCCAAATGATACAGTAGATCTTTTCCGGGCCCGGCTCGACTCGCACTCTGAGGGTCGCGGGTTCGAATCCCCGTCACACCAAACATGCTCGCCCTTTTAGCCGTGGGGGCGTTATAATGTGACGGTCAATCCCACTATTCGTTGGTAAAAGAGTAGCCCAAGAGTTGGCGGTGGGTGGTGATGACTAGCTGCTTTCCCTCTAGTCTTACCCTGCTAAATTAGGGACGGCTAGCGCAGATAGCCCTCGTGTAATTTTGCGCGAAATTTAAATAACAAACAAAACAGATCTTTTCCATACAAACTTAGAATTGACAAAAAAAATAGAGAAAATTCTTAAGTGAATAAAATGTGGTGGTATATATATTGAAGGGAGGAATACTTTTGAATTTAAAATAAATTTCGGGACTTATGTTAAGGACGAATTACTCAGATGTTATTATCACAAACATTATTTTTTAAACCAGTACCTAGCAAAATGTAAAAACATTGAGAGAAAATAATTACATTTAATTGAAATGTTGCGTTATTTTTGAAAGTAACGAATGTGCGCGGTGAGAAGTATAAAACGTTAGTGTAATTCGCTTTAACAGAGATTTCTTCTCTATGGAAGTATTATCAATCGGTTTCGAAGTCTAAACGAATTGAAGTTTAACGACCTTCGGGTGCTAATGGGAGGTTGGAAACCGCCTATTGTGGGTGGGGCAATGTCTTCCTGTCATCGACTAAATCTTGTGACGCTGGTTGAGGGGAGTTCTGTTACACCTCTAGCTGTAGGCATTGTTGACTGAGTTGTTTTTCAGTGCTTGCGGGACTGTATGACCCGGACTATCAGAGACATTCGTGTATTGTGTACTTAGAGTTAAGCGTTGACAAATGTTTATATGACTGAGAGTCATTCAAAAAATTGGAAGATAATATAGCTATTTTAAACACTCTGTGTAAGGTCGCGCATGATCAGCCAATAATAGACACTAATAATAGAATAGCGTTATACCGATGCTCTGGTTAGTTTTTTTCATAAAGGAATATAACATATTAATATTTTATTGAAACAATAACGTACCTTATATGTTAAGAGCGCTTTGAAAATGTTCAGGTACAGTTTGGGATACAGTTACTATGAATACAACTACTCGAATGCACATCTATGCAGTTAACGTTGGGCTGAAACATTGACCAGTCACGTGTCGTTTTAGGTCAAGGAGAAATTAAACGTTTCGTGTGTTTCACATAGATATGTATGCGATGTTGTTGTTGTCCTGCTGTTTTTCCGTAATTAACACAATGGTATTACCAGAACATTTAAGAATGTTAAGATCCAATCAAAATAACGACAATATTTAGTCTATATCAACCTTATTTGAACACAGTTGCCATGGTTATTAGTAGGTTACGATCACCTAATTCTACGTATGTTAATGATTTACTTATATTACTAGATAAGAATTAGTACCTAGTAATAAATAATATTAATCAGTATCTAATGATCAAAGAAACTGATTAATAATTATACTTACGTGATCATATAGACTGCTACTAATCACCATGGCCTGATCATATAGGCTGCTGCTAATCACCACTGAAGATCCTTAGATTCAACACACAAAACAACTGATATAACCTGGCAGAAGTTAATCAATTTATTTCATAAGAAACATATAATACAATCGACGTGCATTAGACTTATTCAATTTTTATACACTGTACCAACGACAATAATCTAGTGGATTTGTTTGTTTTAATGTTACGTTTATTATATGGTATAAAACGATCTAAGGTAACAAATAACTCATTAAGTGTTAGGTAAGTATTTAGTTATGTTATCTCCTTCAATGTAGCCATAAAAGATCAGTCTTTCAAGAACTATCGGGATCTAGTATGAATCATATATATGTTAATTTTG